TTCTTGAAAGCTTTGTATATGATGTACTTGAGTGTGATTGTATAATAAATGAAAAAGAAAAGCTAATACTCATCTAACTAACTATTTTGGTCTTGTAAACGGTCATCAATAGTAATGGATAATATAGAAACTGTAACGGAATTTCGTCCAATTGCAACATTTTTTATCCCAATTGTGCGTAACTGTAATTTTTTCAACGCATTTACGCACAGCTGCGATTTTTTTATCGCAGTTTTTCGCAATTGCGGGTCACAGTGCGATCGCAGTTGCGGCGCAACTGCGTCGCAATTTGACCACAATCGAACATATGGGTAGTGATGTTATAAGTTTCTTACCAGTTTTTTCTTGTTCATTTTTTTTGTAATGAAGCAACAAATGAAGTTATTAAAGATATTCTCTTTCGTTGTATTATTGATTCTTCACATTGATCTAATTCATTATCGATCATACGATTAAATAGTGGCGTTATAACGCCGCTATTGCAATCGCATTGTGACCTCTTTTAGTGCTCCGCCGCGCTGTTATTGCGTGCTATAACGCTGCATCTTTCACTATTTTAGTACTTTTATACATCCGCACTCTTAGTACATTCTGCTGGTTCATTTTTAAAGGCATGTTTCTAAATAAGTTCCATGATTTTCTTTCAAATTTCATTTGAATATGTAAAAATATACAATTAATAAATACCAACAACAATAAACTAAGTGATTCGTCGTGTTTCATAAATTTTATTTTTGCTGCCGTCATTCTTCTCTTTTCGAGAAAAACTTTCCGAAGCCATTCATTAAATATTTGTTCTACTTGATCATCAGTAAGTTTAAACTTAACATGAACAGCTTCTAATAATATAGAATTACAATTTTAATATGAGAAAAAACCGAATTATTACCTATTATCAATTTATATCAATTATCATTATAAATATCAGTTCGTTGTAATGTAATCAGCTCTTCCATAGTGTAGCGTACATCAATTGGATTAATACTGTTACATAAAGATTTGCTGTATCTTTTGTCCCAGGAGTTCTGAGTAAATCGACACCAGGTTCATCTTCAGATGATTTAAAAATTCAGATTTAGAAAATAGAAATGAGACTATAATTGAAGGGTGAGTGTGGGTTTCAATGCGGATGGAATTAATCCCATTCACATACCCTAGCCATCCCCCTTCCCCACACTCCACCCTTCTTCTTGGTTGATTGGCAGCTTTTCTAAATTTCTTCTTTACGATCAGAAAATTTTCGAATTCTTCTGTTTAGTTGTTACAAAGTTTTTGCTTTTTTCTTGTAAAGCTGAGAGCCTACAATGACTTGAAAACCTTCATTTTCGACCGTTTTTAATCGAACATTCTGGAAAAATGTTTCTAGTCGATTTTCAGTTACTAGGATTGTTTTCAAGAACTGAATAACTTTATCTATGACAACAAGAAAAAAATGACTCACATACCCATGTAAAAGAATTGCGGAAAAAAGACAGATTTTAATCCAATTTTTTAATCAGAAAGAAGTCGATTAAAATCTGTTTTTTCCTGGATTTCTTTAAACATTGATATCTTCAAATCGGTTATCGTTGATTATTATTTCTCAATCGACCTGCATGGATTTTGATTTGGCATCCAATTTTAGTTGATTCTTACCATGCATCCGATTTTAATTATACATATTGGAAACAGGTTCTTTTCTGTAGACGTGAACACGAATCTCTCGTTTTTAATAATTTTTTCAATTCCTCATCTCGAAATTATCATTGAACTTCAGCTCATGAATATAACAAAGTTGGAACTAATATTTAAATTGTTTCAAATAAGATTGCGCAATTACATATTTTTATGAGTCAAAATCGATTAGGAACATAAATAATTGATTTTAATCGGTTCTTGTGTAGATAGAATAAATTTTAATTGATTATTTGCAGATAGAATCAATTTTAATCGATTCTTGTGCAGATTAAATCAATTTAAATATATTCTGGTGGAGGTAAAATCAACTTAAATCGATTCTTGTGCAGATAGAATCAATTTAAATAGATTCCGGTGGAGGTAACATAAATTTAAATCGATTATTTTTCTTAGGCTGTAAGACTGGTATCGAGAAACAGAAATTCACTTGCGTCTGTCTGTCTGTAATACTTGGTAGAAATGACCATAATGATGGTACACCTGACTACAATCATAGTGTATATGCCTATTATTATGGTATATTTGACCATTGTGTTTGTTGCAATTGTTATAGACCAAAACCAGTGATTTACCGTTTCTGACACAAAGGAAAAGCTTTAGTTCGTAGATGATCCTATATTCTTGGTATCTAACGTTGAATAGCCTAAGGTCTAGTAAATCGATTTGATTCGTAGTTGATTATTTGGATTTTATTCAACAAAATTGATTTTAATTAATTTTTAGAGAGAAAGTTTGACTACAATCAATTACTATTCAGAATTTAATCAGACAATAGTACTTTTAATCGGTTTATTTAGTTTTTTCTGACAAATCAATTTAAATTAGATTTTTCGCTTGTTGTTTTTACATGGTTCGTTTTAATGCGTATCACAATAATTCTATCAATCATAGATTTTTTGCGCACACACAAAAACATGCATATATTCTAAAAGTGAGTGTGTCATTACCGCGAAAACAACAACTGTTTATGTGTGATTTAAAAGCCTTAAAGTAGAATGACATTTTCAATGAACGATGATTAATATAAGTAGATAATCTCTGATATTTCATTGTTTCATATAGTCATCTGATAGAATCAGATGATGTGGCTGTGGAGTGCTTTTATAGTATCCTTGTCATTGTTGACGATCGATAGATGTTATGGAATTTCAAGTTCTATTTCACCATTTATCCAATACAAACATTCCATTGAACTCGAAGACAATGTAGCTGATCTTTGGTGGACATTGGATGATGCTGAAAGAGAGATCACATTCGAATTACATGTCAAGACTACGGGTTGGATCTCTCTAGGCATCAGCCCAGGTAGATTCCTATTTTACTTTGTCATTCATATGTCAGTTATTCAATCTATGAAATCTAGCTGGTGGTATGAAAGGAGCTGATATCGGCGTTGGATGGGTTGACAGTAAAGGCAATGTTCATTTTCAAGTACAAAATATGTCGATTGCTTTGCAAATTGCCACAATATTCTATATGCTTATCTCTCTATTCTTTGAAGGATCGGTATGCTAGTGACTTTGCCAGACCTATGATTGACAATACAACCACGGACTGGTTTGCTATTCGCGGCCGTGAGCAGAACGGATGGACAGCCATCCAATTCAAACGTTTACTTGACACGTGTGACTCGATGGACTATCCGATCAAAGTATGATATATCAGCAGTTGGTCGAGTATTAAGTGCTTGAAAGAGGGAAAATATGAAAACGTAGAAATCTAGTCTGTCTCTCCATGCAAATTTCTGACTATGAGCACCAAGAAACAATTAAAAACTGACTTGCAGTAAGGTTTAATTTTGATGTTCATATCCACATGGTCACCGATGACAAGTGACGGATCTATTTTAGAATTCCATTATTCATTATCGATTTCTATAAGTTACATTATTTTTATCAAAAAATTGATTCTAAGTTCACACTTTGTCAGCATGACTTATTCAACTTTAGTATCATAAACATTTAATGAGCTAAAAACGAACCTTGATTGAATGTTTTCGATTTCAGTCAGACTAACTATGATTCCGAACTAGACTGAGTGCTGATATAGAATCCACTTGTCGAGATGAAATTTCAAGAATACCTTAAACTTTGATTATGATTCAAGAAATTGAAAATAAAAAATCTTTTTAATTCTTGCATGATACATTAGCAATTCAGAATAAAAATTTTTCGAAATTCTCGAAATTTGAAACTGGAAACGTATACGGATGTTGAATCATTTTCTATCCATTCTTTGCACATTTTTTCTGAAAAGTTAATACATCGAGATTTATAGGAAACTCTAAAAGTAAACTAAGCATGAACGACACTCCTGTTTTCTTTTATTATCAGCTTCTCCTAGATCTGAATATGCACAGATCATAGATGTGGCGATGAATAGAATTGTAAAAAGCCTTCGTCTTTTTATATGCACACAGCCATAATTGTTACTAGTAGTTTAATGGGTTTTATTAATGCATTTGTTTATTTTATGATCATTTTATTTATTTCATTAGACAACAGTTGTAATTTACTTAGACATATATGCAACAGGAAATAAAAGTAATATGTCACTATTCAACACTTACGTCAAATCATTGATATTTCGGTTTCAATGGAATTTTTTCTTAGATTTCGCTTAGCATAAATACAATGACTGTAAGAGGAAAATTCTGTTCGAAAATCAAATTTTTTGTCGAAATAATTACTGAAACGTAAAATATTATTATTTTTGCATGTGGCATCTTACGCCAAACAATTCTTTTTTAAAACTCCATATATTTTCTTAAAAGAATCAAAACTATTGAAATGTGAGCATTTTATATAGTTTGGAACTGATGTTGTCATCTTTGCATATGGTCTCGTCGATCTGGATCTATCTCGACCAGACAGTGACATTTCCTATCATGAAACTCGACGAGGCTCACGTATCATTCCACTTCGATCCTACGGTCAACCGCCATCTGAGGACAAATTTGCTGAACTGGAATTCTTCGACTTTCGATTGAATAATGTCGGTTGCTTTTTTTCTTTTGAAATTCAATATATTTTATCACCTTTTTTTAAGTATCTTATCCCATCGAACGAAACAACCTACCACTGTCAAGTATACAAAGCTCCAGCCAATTATAAAATGAAACGACATGCAATCGCAGTAAGCATGGTTATCCTTTTCAATATAATGAGCATGATTGTGAGTCGAATAGAAGGATAACACACATAGCTGGCGACGTGTGGAATTCACAATCTTAAAGAGAACTCTAGGTCGCGCCGATATATGTTTAAAGCAATAGAAATCATGAATTAATATGCGGCACATTTTGTCTTGCACATTTTGACAACGATGCCTTCATTATTTATTACAATAGAATCAAAATCTAACTTTTCAGAAAGAGAATGAAGCGATTTTGATATTAATTTAAAACCGAATTCACTAGGTTGCTTCGTTTAACAAGGATAAATATTCTTGCAGAAACGTCGAAATTACCCATACGTTCACTGATCATTATAAAAGCTGAGTGGTGAGCTTTGTCTCATTTTCAAAGCAGCCTGGGATCACATGACCTAAAAGTAGACAACCAAGTAGGTCGATTATGTTCAAATCTCTGTTATGCTTGTATTGACGGTTTTTTAGATCGCATAATATTTTTAGAGTCTGTAGAGGTTTTGATTCTGATTGTTTTCATCAAAAAAAGTGTTCAGTTCAATTTGAAATATATAAAAAGGAATAAAAATACTAAGTCAAATTTCTTGAAGACAAGTGTCTTGTCAAAAACTCTCGTATAGCATGGTTTAGCAATGGCCCAGAAGTGTAAAAGTCAACACAGCGATTTGTCTTCTCCTATCGCAACGATTATCGGTTCGAATCGAAACATTTCATGAATGTCGAAAGTCAGAAAAAACTGAATAAACAAGAAGTTGAATCACTTCCACTTTAATAATATGCTTTTGAATCGTCTTGGAATGAATGAAACGTTTTTTTAGAAAAATCTATGTTAATCCATTGACTACTGTATTGAATATTCTTGATTAAATTGACAAATTCAACATTGACTCTATTGTTTTGAAGAATCTTCGATGAAGAAGATGATAGCATGATATGAAATGTCATGACCGATCACGTGTAGGTCGCACAGAACGCTTCATATACGGTGGTAAACAAATACCAAACAGTGTGTTTACGACACTTCGTAGAATTTTGTTTATATGTACGAAAATGATATTTTTAAGATCTTGATTACTCGATCCCAGGCTATGTTGTAAAATGAAAGCCAGTTTTGTTCTAGGCTCTTTTGAAAGTGACTAAATAGAGCAAACGAGCTTAACTTTTTTCTATAAAAATAGTACAATCAGATCTAAACTTTTCCACAGATCCATGTATGTTTTCTAACATAGAACAATGTGACTTGATACTTTCTTTCAAACTACTTACATTCTTTAAGTTATTAAACTCGACACTTCATGTTGCAATTGAAAGTATTCTAGCTATTTTTTCATCTACAGTTTAATTGCTTCTGTCTAGCATAAAATTTTAGTCGATTTTGGCAATCGAGACATTGTACATCATTTACTCCTGCACGAATGTACTCCTGCAACTATTTTCGATGATAACAATTTACCCAGTGGGGGATGTGATGAAA